AACACCTGACAATCAACTGGAAAAGGATGGGAACAATTTTGTAGAATCCTTTTCGCAGATGAAACTAGATTGTTCTTTATTCTTATACCACCATCACACACACACACACATTATATAATATAGTGATGGTAAACCCCTCGTCGTATTGTGTTCGGCAATTTGGTTAGCATCGTGTCTGTGAGTTCACTCTCCTCAATTATTATCTTTTGTTGACATATAACTATCCTGGACTTAAATGCTGTCCCGTGGTAGCTGGCTACAAGCTTTCTAGTTGACACGGCTGTGATTATTGTACACTTGTACATTTAATTACCCAAATGACGCATACAAGGTTTTATACTACTGAGCGTTGAAGATGGTAATTTAAAAGCTGAGATTTTGATTGACAAATAGGGCATCTACTAATCTAATTCAATTTTGATTACATGTTGTGAAAGGCGCAATCCGCAAATTTTTATTATATTAATAATTACTACTTCTTACTTACTAATTTTTATTTATATTAATAATTACTACATCTATGACTACGTCTACCACTCAACTATACCTCTTTTCTTTCTTGAGTCTTAAGCACTATTTTTATGTAATTGTTTTGTTTACACATATCATTTGCGACGTCTCTCTCCTCGTTGGGGTAGTTAGCACCTGCTCCTCGTCCGCCAAACAGCTGAGGGGTGAAGGGCTACCTTTGTGCGGCGCCCGCGGTGAGTCTCAGATGCTCCTCGCGACCGCCGCGCGCACAATGGTCCGGCGCTCTGGCTGAAAACCTCGACCGTTAGCCTGAGCTGCCCTCCGCTCGTGGAAGGCGTCGTCGTCGCGCCTCCGTCATTCAAACGCCCGGCTGGTACAGTTAGTTTGCCGCGATATTGGTCGCTGTCTTCCGGGAAGTACCTCGCCAGTATCTCCATTACTCGATGGGAGTACGGTCGTTTCGGGGTCGTTCTAATCGCGTAGATGCCGTTGTAATTGTTCTTTAACGGTCTGCGTGACTGCACGACCTATATATTTGAGATGTGTGCTCCGTTAATTCAAACAGTAGTCGAATTAATTGCCCATGACTATCACGACCTTTAACCTATTCCGCGAGAGCATCTTTACTGGACCAAAACAATTCGCTGCTTTCCGCGATCCTCTTATTCTCAACGTCTGCTAAAATCTTTCTCCCTTGTCATCCACGGACAGCTCTCCGCGAAGCTTCTGTTGAAAATGAATTTCCGCCTCCTCTCTATTTCGCTGTTGGCAATCATTGTAAAAGACTGGCCTGGCCTGGCCGGGCCTGGTCGGGGTTATTGGCTGCGTAAATGGGGTCGCCCTTCTGCATTTCTGTGCAGTAACAGCGTTAACCTTTGCACGTGCGCATATCTAATTTTATGTCGCCTCTCTACGCCCACCAGCAAATTATCTGTCCTCGCACTGGGCCATTGTCTCCGCATGAACGACATTACATGAACGGGGCTCAAGTAATGGTCCCTATCCCCCGCCCCCCACTTTGCCCATTATCTGCCTGACCCGGCGCGCAGGCGTCACCTCGCGCGATCGTGGCCAACTCTCCCAATTTGTACAAGCACAAGAAGCATCTATTGTCAGAATCTCCTTCCCTTCAGCACGTGCGACTTAGAAACGTCTTTTCATTTCCATTTCTTTGTATTACATTCGTGCGGAGATGATTCATCGCTGATGTATAAAATATCGAGCGAAGTGCCTCAGTGCGTAGCGCGCTGGATTCGCAATCCATGGGTTCGTGTTCGATCCTCATTGGGGTTTCGTGATTTCCCTCTGTCACAAGGCGAAGGCTGGGATGGTTCCAAAAGCCCATGAACACCTTCCACCTTCGACTACCCCACCCAACACCTCCTACCATCATTCTAGTACTTTCATCCCTCATCATCACCCTATAATAATAATAATAATAAAAATAATAAAAAATATTATTATTATAACATTATCCTATCCCAGTAATTGATATTCAAAGCTGACAACCTTTTCGTAACAAAGGGATGCAGACGAAAGGCTGATCCCCATAATTCCACACGTTGATCCCTCCGGCGTAGAATACAGCTGGGCCTCGGAGAGAGAAATGCGTTACGTAGTCAGTAGTGGTCTATAAACGAATAATAAATAATTGCGCTTATCTTCGGAAGCTTCTGCCTGAGCTTTCCTTAGCCACACAGCTACCACAAAGCTACAACTCAAAATATGTTTAAATTTTCAAAATACACTGGCGGAAAATAGTATTGCAACAGCTCGAAGCACACGAGCAATCCAGTAAGCGATAAGGGAGTTAGGGATGGGGGTCGTAGAAGCCGCGATTAACATTTCACGAATGACTGTCGCCAACTGGCGGAATGGCAGCGTGACGAAATGGCCCGAATGTGTAATCTACTCCGTGGCTTTAAAAGGTGTTGTCCACTGCGATAAGGTCTATTCGGGACTTAGGTATGCCACGGCGTCGCACTCGTTCGTCCTTAAAGCAATTGAACCAGTTGGAGCAGAGTCGCATTGTGGGCCTGCGGGAAACCGGGTAGTCCTATCGGCGCATTGCTGACCACGTGAGCCGTGATGCGGCGACTGTGCTGCGGTGCTAGCGAAGATGGGTAGACGATCATTCGAACCCACTTCAGAGCATTTAGACCCACTTCGGGGCGACCGCGGAGCACTGACGAACGTAAAGATCGACGCATCGTGAGGGCGGGTTTGGCAGACAGTACAGCCACCCGCGCTGGCACATGTGGTCCCCGAACTTATATCCACGCTGGGAACCGGTTACATGCTGTAGGATTACAATCGCACATACCGCAAGCCCAACTGCCACTCACTGCGAACCATCGTCGGGCATGCCTGGGGTGGTGCAATGTGCGGGTCAGCTGGAAGAAGGAATGGCGTGCAGTGGTGTTCGGAGAGGAGAGCCGCTTCTCCATGCACGTCAGTGATGGTCGAGTGCGTGTGTGGCGTCGCACAGACGAGCCCGTGCGTCCGGAGTGCTCGTCCCCGTCACGTACGGCCCTCCCCAGGAATGGTGGGTTGGGGTGCAATCAACTACAATTTCATCGGTGTTGGTGGAGGGATCAATGACCGGCGCTGGATGCATACAGCACCTTGTGCGGCCTATGCGGGTACTTTTCTTGCAACGAGAGGGTGGTGCGCTGTTCGATCAGGACAACGCCCGCCCGCACACAGTCTGCGTTACGCAACACGCTCTCCGCGATGTTCATAAACTGTCCTGACCGGCACGCTCGCCGGATTAGTCCCTGATCGAGCATGTGTAGGACATGATAAGCATAGCTTAACCCATGCTGCGACTCCCGCAACAACTCTGCCTTCTCTGCATGGCTCAATGCAGGAACAGTGTACCGCAGGGCACTATTCGCCACCTGTACGATGGGTTGTCAGCCCACATCAGGCTTGGCGTAATGCCCGCGGCGGGTACACGCAGTATTGATGTGACGTTTCCGGTCCGTGGTTCTCTCTGCTGCCGGACGTGCGAGTCTCACATGGCTCTGCCCATGTAATCATGCATAATATTGTCTGTATATGCTGTGTCTGTACGGAGGAATAAATGGTACTATGTAATCGGGGTTTTGCAATATTTTTTTACGCCAGTGTATTTTAACCCATTAACGATCCCACATTATCATTTGAGGTCGTACATTTCTAGTCAAATCAAATTTGCTTTTGCACTGTGCTAGTTTTATTTTAATAATCATCTTCTACAGTTGTGCTTAGCTGCTGAATGCCTATTGTCAAGACGAAGGAAGGTGGCTGTGTAAAGCAAACGGTGGTTGGTCCGCACAGAACGTTGACGAAGCATATGCTGCTAAGGTTCTGCTATTTGTTGTTGAAAACTAGTGGTGTTATGACAGCACATGCTTTCTCACATCAATTCTAACTTTTGAATTTTCGAAAATTCAGGATCTTCAGCGACAATGAGATCTACACCATTTTAAGCGGTATTTGTTTTATTCCGTTTAATAGAATTTTTTTTATAAATTGCATTCATTTCAAACCAAAATTATGGGAAAGCTTTTCATTTTTTACTTGTAATGATCTATTTTAAAAATCTTAAGTTTTACAATAGATTTCCTTTACGGCCCAAATATCTTTAATATTGCACTACTTTCGCAATGTTTTTTCTTCACTTTTAGAGGATGCAGAGTGTTTGCCGAAAATGAGACCTCCACCAATTGTTGTCTAGTCCTTGGGTTCATTTATGGAGAAAATGTAATTTCAAACTTTGGAGCATTTTTTTTAGCAAAATAATATGGAAAAAATCCCTATTTCACGCAGAATTACGTAAAGCTACTCACATTTCGAAAAATTCTACGTAGCATTATTCCAAGATGTCTTTGAACGACCAATTTTATTCGGAAACGGTATAAATTTCACTATTATAGTTGTAAGAAGATGCCGAAAAATGTTTACAATTTTGCAATTTTCGAATAATAAGGAATATCAACAAAAATGAAACCTACACTATTCTTGTAAGAGATCTTTACGCTACGTGGGGACAAAGTTAAATTTTTTTAAAATGGAAGCAACTTTTGTAATTGTCGTTGGTGCTTCATGTAGAAAACCCTCTAAAATTAAAATACCAGTTTTAAACTCGCAGGAATTAGAGTTCAGTAAGATCGCTAGGGAATACAATTTTGGAGAAAATTATCTGACCGATTTGGGTGCCAGCGTTGATAACAAGACAGATGGACGGACGAACAGACGTTTTGCTGTCAACAGATTTTGTCTCAAGGACCCACAAAATATGGATTCTGAAAACACGTGTTAGGGGAAGTAACTTACTACATGTAGAAACAAGATTTATCCACTTTTTCCCTGCCAGTACCCGGTAATAAGCGTTTTTCTGTCGAAAACTGCCGATTTTCGGTGCATGATTACAATACTTTATGCATTGTTTACTGCTATATTCAAAATATAAAAGATATCCTTATATTATGGTTGTCTTTCCGATGGAATATTGCTGTGTACTATACAGGGTTTTTGTTTTCCAGGTGGCCGGAGCTATCGGTAGGGCGTTTCATGACAAAGAGAATAAGCCCGTACAAGAATTTTTAAATGAAGTAACAGACGTTTTGGCAGATTTTGAAGTCGAACTGAACAAACGAGGAACAACCTTCTTCTCGGGTAAGCTGGTTCAATTGGATCCGTTCCACGTACTGCCGACTTTCACGTCTCTAGGAATTTGCGCCCTGGAACTTATATTAGACGCTAATAATACTTGGAAAAATGCTCAGTACGTGTGAATTGTTGCAGGCGAGAAGCCGGGCATGGTGGACTACATGATTTGGCCGTGGACGGAGCGCTCCAAACTGCCGGCGCTGCTCAAGGAGCAAGAGTTCAACTTTCCGAAGGAGAAGTTCCCCAAACTGGTAAGCACGTTGTGCGGGCGTCGCTCAGAGCAAGGCTCGCCTGAACAGAAGAAAGGCTAGCTGAGTGCTAGAGAAGGAGATAAACTCGCAAGTTTGCCTTCGGCCAACAAGGCAGTCGGATCGTCTCCCCCCTCCGAACTCTCCTCTGTAACTCGCCGTTTATCTCCCTCCACCCCCACCGCCTTGCATCTCATGAATAACGACCGTTGGATGAATTTCCTCTTTAGGACAGAGATCTCCCGGTTACTCTTCTGAAACTCGCTTAACTAATGTGCATAGTTGTAACTTCAAAATATAATCTTTCAAAAATAATTTGCAAAAATGATTCTTTAGCTACTTTTATAGAGAATTTTCAGTTAGACATGAAAAAATACCAACTAGAATGTAGACACAAATGAACGTCATCTTTTTACAGTAGTTTATATCAAATTTAATAATTTGTTCGTGCCTACATTTCATTGCCAATCTTCATTTCTTTTAAAATTTAAGTGACTTTCTTGATGATGATGATGATGATGATAATTCAGTAACCTAAAAATGTATTTTTCTTAATGATTTTCCGTTAAGGAACCAAGCAAATAATCTCTTAAATTAATGTTTTCTGTTTTATGAGTGTGCCAAATAACCATACTTGATTTTAATGATTAGTTCATAAATTCAATATATTTTTTCGAATTTGTGCTTGGAGCCAAGGGTGTAATTTTTATTTTGTTCATCAATACGAAGTTATTTTGAAATATGTGTATTTTATTACACATAGACCAAGGAACAGAAAAGTGGCAATGAGATTAATTTATCGGGTCTAGTTTTCTGAAACAAAGGGTAGCCTGGGACTTGCAAGTAATGTATGCATGTATAAATGATGTACGTATTTGGCATGTTTGTGGTAGGAGTAATCCGACTAGCAGATTTTTCTTACCGTTTCTACCGATTGTCCAATCATAAACAAATATCTTAGGAGGCGGTATACATCGATCGCTATGTCGATGTCCAATAAACAGAGTATCTACTATAACATATTCTCTGATTTTAACATACTCTTTCAGTTATTTTCAATATTTGTCGCATTTTAGAACTCGGTTAGAAATAATTTCTCACGTGTAATAGTTCTATTAAATACCACTCGTGCTTTGTAAATTCTCAGATAAATTCCCTCCTTGCGTCGCAAGTCGGGAATTTATCGACAATATCCGAAGCACTCGCGGGATTACCTATGATAAACCACAAACAGCATAATTCTATTCGTAAATATTAATATCTCGATGTGGAGGAAAGTGTGGCATATTTTGTTACCATAAAAGTCTTGTTCACATTAAACCCTTTCGGTATTCGTCACGAAGTTATTTTCCTTGAACATACTAAGTCACTTACGTCAAGTCAATCAATAGGGATATTTTGCACTTCATATCGTACTGCAATCGATTGCAATCTCATCTTCTGCGAAGGCACAAGTGCTTCCTATTGCCTTTTATTCCTATCGCTCAGGGTCTCAGCGCCATTAGTATCCGGACTGTCACCCATCCGGGAACACCCAGTGACTCGAGCTACGTAACTTCCGTGACTTCACGAAGCATCTTCTACCGGCGCATGCATCGAGATTCTAACATTTGTGAATTGAGAGACTTGCGGTGGCTGGTTTGAATCATTTTTATTACTGCTCAAAGCCCTTCGATTATACTTTTGAGTTTTGATTCACGAGTTCAGGTTATAAATAAAGGATATGATTATAATTGCTGATTTTTCGGTCAAACAGTTTACTAGGCTTTCATTAGCGCAGAATTGCGCGCCATCTTTCTTGATATAACAATACTTGTGAAAATTAAAAATGATGATTACATCCTTTGTTTGCGACCTAAACTCAAGAACCTCAGAAATATAGTTTCAACAGGCCAAGAAGCAATTACATTAAAAATATTGTGCCATCAGTGTGTGTTAATTTTGAAACTATTTTCTCTTTATAATCTAAAAAATTCGTTAAAATAATTATGTCAACATTTTTTCGTATTCTTGTCGACATTGATTCAAGTATTTTTTAACCAGGGTTTTTTGACAAGATACAAAAAAGGTCTGTCAGTTTATTCATTATCATTTTCGTGTAAAATATTTACTTGGTCTTCCCTAAATACAATTATGGTTATAACACTGCGCGAACGTTTGTTCAAAGAGAATTTTGGTGTTGCAGGTGGCTTGGCGACAGGCCATTCAAGAGGACGCCGCCGTCAAGCCGACAATCATCGAAGCGGACAAACACCTTCGATTCATCAAAGTCTACGTTACCGGCAAGGGCGAATACCTCGACGACGAGTTCTGAAAATCTCACCCCTGCCCCACGCGACAACGCTGCATTTGCTTCTCTCGCATCGTCTGAATCCGCTAGTAGTACTCTGCAGAAGCGTTTGAGAAAGTAGATTGTGATCTCTGCTCTTCCATCGGGAACTGTCCAATAGCCGTTCACCGTAATGATCGTGACAATAAAGCACATGGTTCATCGTTGTTTTCAAGAAGATGCAAAGAGACATATAATTTCATCCACAATATCTTATATAGTTTGCTACATGTGAAATAAATTCTTACTGCTGCTACTAGCTGTTGTACGAGTATCTCTCTGAATAAAGACGAATGTGACTCAAAAATTAATTTTACTTATCCCTTTTCCAAGGTTTTTCATATTATATTTGTTTTGACTATCTGACCTATTTGTTATTAAAGTAAGAAGGCATTTTATAGATTTTTAATCTGAAAAGGAAGTTTAGGTTCTCTGAAAATTTTAATGTATTTTCAAAATTTCTATTAATTGTCCCTTTCGCAATGTACCTCATATGTGATTTGTTAATCGTTGAGTTTTAGGTTTCCACTGACTCAATTTCGTCGGTAAAGAAATACCGTACTTCGCGTCAGGAATGGCCAAATTAATAAATTAGAATGCCGTAGCAATACTTTAGCCATAAATAGGTGAGATGACTGTTTAGAAATAATCCTAACAAATTCAAGTTTCTAGGTTTGTCTAACAGATTTTGAAGTGTAGTTATACGTGTATCAACTGTATTAATGGAGAGATACTAATGGGCTTCAATCAACGTTAAGTATATACTCAACAAATTTATTGTTCTAGTGTATCAACAGATTGTTAATAGACGTATAATAAAAAGGAAAAAGGAATGGCCAAATTATTTACCTCAAGTTCTAATTGGCAGCTTGACTTTACTTCTGCACGAAATCATCAATCTTTATATCCAAGAGTGAATATAAAGAATTTCGTATTATGTCATTGACTCTTTGAGAGGATTCAAGATAGAACTAGTGGTGCTACAGAATTGCACATACTTTCCTGTATTAGTTTTCTATTTCCTTTGGACTCGGCTGGCTATTTGGACTTGCCACAAACTCCCCAACTGTCATCTAACGCCGCCCAAAGTACATTTTGTGACATTTTCTTTTCTATTTTCTCATAGTAGAACGGAAATATTATTTTAGGAATATTCAAGAACAGTCAAACATCGTCTTAAATGGCAATTTTCTGTGAAAAAATTTGGTGTCGTTTTTATAATAAATGGCGTTTAAGCACAACTAAATTCGAAATTTGAAGTTCTTTTACAGAGAAAATGTTTGAGTTTACGAAAAACTTCATTAGAAGTCACTTGAAACATTTTAATTCAAAAGTACAATAGTGTTTACAAATTGCTGAAAACATGCATTCAAGAAAATTAATTTGTGTACTTTTTGAAAAGAAAAAAACGAAGTGAACGCCATATTAAAGAGTGCAATTGGCACTATCCCTTTGAAAAGTTTGAAGATCAAATCTTGAGCCGTTTTGGAGAAAATGGTTTTTGAACATTTCTCTAAATACGAAATTTTGAGCTGCTTTTTACTGAAAACGGTTGAGTGTTTTAAAAACATTATATGAGATTATTTAAAGCACATGTACTTTTAAATAAAAAAATGTGAACAAATTGCCGCTAATGTAAATATTGACGAGAGAGCGAAGTCAACAAATTACGGTTTTTGTAATTGTTGAAAAAAAAAAGAATAGAACAAACTGATGTTTGTCATGTCATATAATACATTTAACACTATTCCTATAAAGTTGAAAGAAAAAAAATTGAAGCCGTTTATGAGAAAATTTTGTTTTTATTTTTGAAAATTGCTCATATTGCACACAATATTACACGAAAACTACCCAATTTTTCAAAAAATTCTACATGACCTAAATGAAAGAACGCACAATGGAGAACAAACGTTATTTGAAGGAAGTTTCTTATCTTCCATTTTGTAGTTGTAGGAAGACTCCCAAGAAATTTAAAAATTTTCGAAAATTCAGTGTTGACCCAGAAAATCAGACTTATGCCACCCTGAAGTGTATTTTAATCCATTCTTACGGGATTTGTTTAAAGAATGGAAGGGTTTTTTTAGAAATTTTTTAAAAATGTCTGGGGGACATCATGTAAAGTTCTCCCAAATTTTGAAGAAAGTTTTTCAAAATCGCAGCTCCTTAAGTCGAGCCAGATCGACCAGGGAAGAGAGATTTTTAGATTTTTCCCAAAATTCCTGTGTACTTAACAAAACCATAGACATCTCCCACACGACAGGAAGGCTACGAAGTTGTTTTTTTACAATTCCTATGCGCGTTGAAAAATAGTATATAAACGTTTTTTTTTAAAATATTTAATATATAGCAGTGTTAAACGAAAGTATTTTATTTGTTGTTCTTACACAGTATGCGTGCTAAGGTTTTGGGAAACCATTATGTGTGATTTTGTTCAGCCGCATTTTTGCTGCTGCAAATCGCTAGTATATCTTAATTTTTTTTAATTCTAAGGATCAAATATAAATGTCTGTCTACAATTGATTTCGGGGTATTATACCCTATTCTTTTAAAAAAGGCTATCAAAATACCCAGACTGAGATTCGAAACTGTTTGCTATGGCCATGGACTACAAATTAAGAGGTTTACAACAACGCTATATAATAGGGAGACGGAACCGCCTCATTTCCGATGCTTCAATAAATTCTTAGTGTTTTGGTGATTTTGACAAAAACTCAAAATGACCAAAATTGCACATGACATTTATTTGAAGGCGTACTCTTGAACAGGAATTTCTTTTGGAAAACATATGTATCCCCAAAACGTTTGAACGGAAAAGGAACTATGTAGTCTTTCTGTAGGAGGGCGTCGACAAAATTGTTAACTTTTGCAATTTTCGAAAATGAGGTGTGCTGTAAATCTGACCTGCGCCACTACACAAAGAAGCTAAAAATATCTACCTGCTTGGTGTCAGATACTGGGAAAAAGGCCTTTTCTTTGGCGAAACCGACACCTTTTTCTGCAGCATAACACTTTCGCATTACATAGTAGATATGAGAAAGTAAACACCGAATAGTAAAAAATAGCAAATTCACCTATATTTCGTCTTTTAACTCGACACAGACTTTATATCGAAAATGTATTGCTAAATAAAGTAATTACCGAGTCGAATGACAATGCATATTCGGAACAGTTTAGGGTAACCAGCGATCTGGCTTTTTGAAATTGAAAGTAACCCCCCCCCCCACCGAGAATTACAGAACTATAGTGTGGACGTTCGTAGAGAAACTATTTTTTTGTAGAGAATGTATTACTAAATAATATACTGTCTCAGATTTGAAATGTATAAGAAAGTATTTTTTCAACCGAAAAGTCGATTTATCTAACATCGGTTTTGGAATGATTTACCTTCCATCGGTATCTCTTCGATTAGGAAAAATGTTGGTTCTTCAATTAATAACATTAGTAGTCAACACCCAAGTAGGTTACTTTTTCAAATGGATATTCCCCTATCGACGTTACTAAAAATTTTGAGGATACCAGTAGATTATCTGACTTCCATGTTCATTTTCAATAATACTGAAAATATGATAAATTTCTTTTGGTTAATTTCACAGAAATAGGAAAACGCGTAAAAACACTGTAGCATTTCCTTTATCAATAAAACTTTTGAATTTTCTGAATTAATAAATCATATTATTTCCTTGAAACGTCCCGGATGCCTTAAATGTTGCAATTTTGAAGATTATATCATTGATTTTGCAATACAGCAATTTTAAAAACATGCTCAGTGATAGTGTTTGGTTTCATTATAATTTCCACATCCAATTAAATTAAGTTATGGAAGTTCAGGGTTTTGTTTCAGAACAAGGGTTTTGTTTTTTATACTTGACACAATTTATGTGAATAGAGAACATTTAATCATCTAATTTTATCTCTATTTTTATAACGTTAGATTTTTAAAAAATATTTAAAAGTTTCGAATTTCTGACTAACCTAGCAAAATATTAATTCAGGAATTCTATGTCTATTCTAAAGATTAGACACCTACGCAGTGTTTCAACAATGCATTCATCTACTATGTTAAGTTGGTGTCTCCATAAAACGAGACTTTTAATTTGGAAACTTCGAACCATTACACTTTACTATTCTCGCTTCATTTTAGTATTAACTTTGTAATGGAACGGTCGCACGCGTCAGGTTCCGACGCGTATTTCAACATTTTATTCAATATAACGTTGCTGTAAAGAAGCATGAAAATGTGCATTTTTGCCACCGGCCAAGGTGTAAGAAGTGTTGGGGACGCGGAGGCATGCTGCTCTATTCTCCCGACAGGGATGCGCCCCGGCCGCATCTGCTGACTCACCGGGAAATACGGACGCTGCTGTCTCCTAACCCGGCAATTCAGCAGCACCTGTTCTCGGAACTTGGGTGAAGTTTCAGTTTCAACAGAATTTGGCAAAGCTCAAAGGGCCATTAATAATTCTGCGATTGAGTGGAAGAAATCGCGTGACGCGCGCTCGCCAATAACGGAAAACGAAGCGGGGAGGGCCACGTGACCCGCGAAGCTGAGCAGGTAGCTGCGACACGCAAGCTCGGTCATTCCGATAGACGAGGCGACAGCTAATAGAAGTGCCTTTCAGAGGTAGGACCTCGGGCCCAGGACTGACGACGGGCCGAGGGGCAAGCACCCCAGCCGCGAACCACGCTGCCGATGCTCGGACCAGCGTTGCTAGCGCCCGTGGACGCCACCATGCCGCCCACCGTGTTAGTGAGCAAAGGAGTGAGACGAGGCGCAGCCGTCGCCGCCACCGACCGCACCGCGCCAAACACTAGGGCGAAGGGCCTCCGCTCCCGTAACCAGGGTCGTGACCGCCGGGAAGGGCGCTGCCCTGCTTCAAATGATGAACTCTGGTCCGTACGGCCGAATTTAAGATAAGATAAATCCACCTACGTTCCTTAACTAATCATCAAAGCTAAAGGAGCATAATTTCTACCCTAAAAGTGTCGGTAAAACGTATTGAGGGGTCAAATATTTGACTAGCAAAAAATGACGATCGTCAAGACCGATTTGACAAAGGTTGCTGAAATTGGCCATAACACTGGAACTCGCTGTGGACTGATAACATCGTGTGCTTGTGACACTACCTACTAAATTGTGACATGAGAATAGGGTGTACTCATATTTCCTGGCACGCAACTCCGTGAAGATCTCCGTATGTTCAATTTCTTCATGCTTCCTCTTAATATCCAGATACAAGTATAAGCAATGACGGCCTAACGAAGGAAACATGCCCTTTGAGTATCATGGAAGGAATAATAAGGAGGCTTTGATCGAAAAATTGCGCAATCTGGTACCACCGGTGTCATCAAAGAAGAGACGAGACACTAACTGAA